TAGAAATATTAATTTTATTTTTTATTTATAAATATTAATTTTATTAATTTTTAAATAAAAATATTAATTTTCAATCTTTACCATTACTGTTAAAATATTTATTTATTATATTAACGTTATCTTATAATTAATTTTTAAATATACATTAAAAATTAATATTTTTTAAAATTAATATTTTGATTTACACATTTTCTCCCAAACCAGACCATGAACTTTGTTTTCACACATACTCTATATATCTCTCCACGTTAATAAATAAAAATGCTACTAGAATATTTTCTCAATCTAACCGGTGGTAAAAAGAGAGAGCCAGTGTAAATGTATAAGGCAGAACCCTCAAATCACCCCCTGACAAATATGGGTAGGGACGGATCCACCCCTCCAAAAAAAGTAGGGACAAATGATACCCCCAAAGTATCGATTTGGTCAAATCGATCATTATCTAACGGGTGACGTCATCACCGTCACAATCTCCGTTTAGCTCGTGCCAGCGTGTCGTTTTTTCACACGCTGGATGCTGATGTGTACCAATCCCGTCCGTTTCACACACCGTGTCACCTTTTATTTCCCTTTTCTTGTCATGATCCCATTTAGCCCTAAAAAAGGAAGAAGAAAACCTACGTCTTCGACTCTGATTTGCAGTGAAAAATCGAAAACTCATTTCTCAAATAAATCCTTGAACCAAATTCCCTTTTGAGTACGAAACGAGAGTTGGCTCGACTCTCCGGATGTACGAAAATTTCAAGCTCCCCAAACACTGCGATAACAATGAGGTCCTCAAAGCTCTCTTGTTTCTGCAAGCAAAATTTCCTTTCTCTGAAAAAATGGTTATATGTTGCATAGTCCAGTCTTGAAATTAGGAATTTTGAAATTGAATATAGAAATTTTCTTTGGATGCAAAATTTAGATCAATTCACTTCCATGTTAATCTTAGGAAGCCTAATCGTTAAAATTTTGGAGGCAAACGAATATGATTTTTCCGGCAAACCTAACAATGAAAGTAAAAATCGAACATATTAATTAAGATAAAAACTAAAATACTGTAGGTGAGGCAGGGGCATGGCTGTAGCGTGCATAAGGCAAAGGCGTGGGATTGGGGCGCAGAGTGCAGTAGCAGCAACAGGGGCGTAGGCGGCAAGGGCAGGGGCACGGTGTAGAAGAGAGGGGGGTGTAGGAGGCATGCAA